GGGTACAGGGGGGTACCCGGGTACAGGGGGGCAGGGGAGTGGTTAGCTGAGAGGGGGTGCGGGTACCCGAGTACAAGAGGACGGGGTGAGCGGGGGGGTACCCGAGTACAAGAGGACGGGGGGAGGGGTGAGCGGGGGGTAGGGGGTTTGGGGTGGGGTACCCGGGCCCGGGGGGTGGTTAGCCAAAGGGATGGGTGCGGGGGTGGAGGATGGCCAGGCACAGGGGTGCAGAGCGGTGGGCAGCTGGGCAAAGGGGGGGGTCACAGAGAGCACGGCTGAGCTGTAACCTTCTCCCCTCTGGGCCGGGCACTTTGCCTGGGACGTGCCCCGCCCGGGGGGCTCCATCCAGCCAAGGAGCTGAGCACCCACAAATGGATGCTGAGGGGCTTTAAATCAATGCAGGCGGCTGGGCTGGGGATCGTGCGGCCAAACTGGCCCCTGTGATGAACCCATCCCCCAGCCCTTCCCTTCTCTTCCCTCCAGCCTATCCATCCATCCACCTCTCCCCCTCCTGTGCCCCTTTCCAGACACTCCCCTACCTCTCCCCCTCCCCTCACTACCCCATTCCCAGGGATAGGGGTGGGGGCAAAATCTCTCCTCCACCCCCAGGAGTCTGGCTGAGTATCATGGCAGCTTCCAATGTCCCTGCTCGGGGTGCTCTGGAGGCAGAGAGAGGGGAAGGTCTCAGCCCAGGGAAGGTCTCAGCCTGCAGGCACCTTTCCACAGCTGGCTCAGTGGTGGACTGCAACGAGAACATCTGCCCCTAGAAGGTAGAGAGACGCCCATCAGTTCACTTCACACAGGCCACCGAACAGATGGCAATAACTTTCAGTCATCACCGAGCTGCGCCGGATTGGAACCACTTACTTAGAGCTGAAAAGCTCAGTGTCCCGTTACCAACCCCGAGCAGCAGCTAAACTCCTTGGGAGGACTAGGAAGGGAAGGGGAGCTCATCGGCTCTTTGGCTTGGGCAGTGCCGTTCTCAAGTGGTAGGATCCAGAGAGGAACTGCCCATGTGGTGCTGTGACTTGCGAATGACCCAGGCTGTAGAATTCAGCTGCAGATTTCAGATGTCCCCAAAGTGGGGGGGTTGTTCTGAGCTGGCATGTTGGTTCTGCTGGTTGTGGACAGCGAGGCGAGTAGCCAGGGAATGTGTCAAGGCTGCAGGGCAGTACGGCTCCAGGATTTTGGGCCCATCTCCTGCTCAAAGTCTGCTCCAGGTCTCCTGTTCAGGGTGAACTCTTTTTCATGCCAGAGATTTACTGGTAATGTGCCCAGCTCCCATGTCCTACATATATTCAGGAGTTAATGATCAGTCATCCTCTTCCTTAAACAAACAAAACAAAACACACACCCCCACACACCCCACGCACACCAGCACAACTTAAAAAGCAATTAAAAGCTCACGGAGGTGTCACTCTCTCCTTCTTGTTCGAGCTGTCAAAATGCTTTATGGGGTTAATACCTGCGGCTTTGTCAACAGGAGTTGTGTTAATAACATGCACATTTCGCTGGACTAATTTAGACCATGTGCCCTCCTATAAATGTGTTAATCTTTATGGGAATTTTCAGTGCTCAGGACCCGGAGCGGAAAGGGAAACGCAGGCTGGCGGGGAGGGTGGATTCTGCAACCTGGGAATGGAAGTTATATTTTCCACACCATTTAGTAGCACTGAGGGGAGGGATTGCCAAGGAGCAGGGGGCATTGCTCATTTCTTCTTACCTTTCCCGGCAAGAATTACAACAGGGGATGCAGAGTGCGAGCTGCCAGTCAGTGGCCCTCCCCGGCAATCAGATTGCGAGGAACTAGCCATATCTCACAGCTGCTCCTCTCCAAGCAGTGGGCACTGCAGGGAGTGCCGGTGGCAGGAAAGTCTGTATATTTCACTTCCAGCTTCTAGGAACCCTGGCAGAGGCTGGGGTGAGAGCCTGGCTCTTGGTAACCCACTTCCTTCAGTCCCAGCCGGCCTGAGCAGACTGGGGCCGAAAGCACAGCTGCTGTGGTCCCATTCGTTCCCAGAGCTATTCATAGTAAAAAAATGTGAGCAGCTGGTTTGTTACTCCAGCCCCAGCCTCTGGCAAGAGGAGTCACTGCCGGAAAGGATGCAGGACAATGTTGACCCAACTACTGCGGTTCTTGCTCCTCTCAGCAGGGGTCACTGTGGGGTGATGCAGGAGGTGACTAGGGTGACCAGATGTCCCCATTTTATAGGGACAGTTCCGATATTTGGGGCTTTTTCTTATATAGGCACCGATTACCCCCCCCCCACCCCCTGTCCCAATATTTCACACTTTCTATCTGGTCACCCTAGAGGTGAGCCGGGGATGATGGCACTTAAAGCAATTTCATTTGGAATCATTCAGGAATTTTCACACACACACACCCCCCGTTGTAGGCCAAAAGCCTAATGGGGAAATTGGTCAAAACTCTTTGGCGGAAATTTACCAGTTTTACTTCAACTTTCACCAGGAAGATTCCTTGGGTCAGGATGGAATTTCTGAGCAAACCAAAAGCAAGCCCCTCGCCATGTGATAGCTCATGTGATTAGCGCCATAGTGCAAGCCCGGGAGCCCGGCCTATAGACCTGGGCTCTGCGACTCGTTGCTGTTGGGATGTTTTTGCAGTGTAGACATTCCCTAAAGGGCACTCTAGGGTGACCAGACAGCAAATGTGAAAAATCGGGACAGGGGGTGGGGGATAATAGGAGCCTATATAAGAAAAAGACCCAAAAATCGGGACTGTCCCTATAAAATCGGGACATCTGGTCACCCTAGGGCACTCAGCTGGGCTGGGGTGGGGGTGACCCAGGTTCAAATCAGGTAGAGGGAGACTGCCTCTGGAGCTGGTGGAATCAGGCAGAAGAAAGCTTTGAGTCAGGGTGTTTCACTGCCCTAGTCACAGGGCTCTTGGCTTTTCTCTCTCTCTCCCATGTTTTGTGGACAGTTTTGAAAGGTTTCGGTTTCATTTCGAGGCGGAATGGTAACAAATTTTGAAACCTCACCATTTTTCACCAAATGGAATTATTTTCTTCCGGCCAGCCCTCATTTAATTCTTATCTTCTTCCAGCAGGGGGCACTGTCGAATGACGTGACAGTGCTGGCTGTGGAGGGGGACCCCACAGCTTTTCCAGTCCCAGCTTCACCCAGCAGAGATGCCCTAGACCAGGGTTTCTCAACCCGTGGGTCGGCACCTGACATTGGGTCACCAGAATGTTACAAAGGGCCCCGTGGCAGCTCCTGTCCCACGGGGCTGGCTGGGCTCGCCTCCCTGGTCCTGGCGCTGCAGTCTCTGGAGTCCCAGTGTCGCTCAGGTTTGGCCGAGCCGTCAGGCCGGCGGGATCCGGGCAGGCTAAATTTGAGTGAGTGGTGCTGCAACCCCATGAGCAAGGTCACAACTCCACTCGCACCAATTTGGTCCAGTCAGGGGGGCCAAATCTGAGCAGCGCTGCAACCCTGCCGGTTGCAATGCCTGGAGCGGAGATCCAAGCCCAGCCAGGCCCACGGCACAGGAGCTGCAGGAGCTGCCACTGTGGGGTGAGTGCCGGGCAGGACCCAACCCTCGCAGGGGGCAGGATCCGACCGAAACCACCCCAGGGCCTCCACCCCCAGACTATTTACTGGGTCGCGACAGGCCATAAGCATTTACAAATGGGTCCTGAGCCCAAAACGATTGAGAACTGTGGCCCTAAAATAATGATAAAGGAACCTGTGAGGAGCTTGCAGTTACTACTTTACTTGCCAGGGACCCTTCCAAGGCTGGATGTGCCGGCTGGAGCATGAAGCCCCATCTCTTGGGGTCACTGGTGTGATGCAACGTTTACAAGAGGGTCTGTGCAAAGAAAAACCCACGGCACCGAGCATCAGAGCCTGGGTCAATTGACTCGAGCGCGTGGGGCTTGGGCGGCGGGACTAGAAATAGCCATGTGGGTGTTCAGGATCGGGCTGGAGAGCAGACTCTGAGCCACCCCCTTCGCAGGGTTTCAGAGCCCAGAGTCCAGCCCAAGCTAGAACGTCTCCACTGCTGTTTGGAGCCCCATGAGCCGGAGTCACTTGATCCAGCCTCCGTGGGTCTTTTAGTGCAGTGGTGCCCAGAGAAAGTCATCCCAGGCCCTCGCTCGTTAACTGTGCTGCCAAATGCAGCGCCAGTGCCCACACGCTCTCCAGCGCTGGGTAATTGGAGCCCTTTGTCATTCAAATGCCTGTAATTGGCGCTCCCTTGTCTAACGCCAGCATCTGTAATAGACAGAGCACAGCGTTTATCAAGTGGACACTGGGAAAGGAGGCAGCTAATTGGCTGAGGGAAGTGCCTCCTGTGCAGGGAGCTGAGCTGGCTAGCAAAGGCCCTGGGCTCCTTAGCCCAGCTCATCTCCCTTGCGTGGCCAGGGGCGTGTGGGCAAGAGAAATTGTCGAGAAAGCGTCTTTCCTGCCTCGTTTTTTTTTTTTTCCCTGGCAGGGTTTGTTTTGAGGGATTGTTTTCAGTGCTGTATTTTCATTTCTGGTATGAATTGTATTGCTCATGAAAGGTGCAGTAGGGAGACGCGGCCTTAGAGTCCTGATGGGCTTGATAACTGTCCCAGACACCTACCCGGCACAAGAGTAAACCTACTCATTAGAGGCTGATACTATGGGAGTCAAGAGGGAGTGTGATGGTGATCATCCAGGAGCTCCTCTCCCGGTTGCTGGGAACGTGAGTGGGACTGGGGTTCCTTCCAGTGATGCTCTCCCTAGACTCTGCTCCATCTTGTGTAGCTGCTTCCGGCTATTGGTGGCAGATAAAAGTGAATTTCCTATGTTTGCTGGAAGGAAGGAAGAACTTTTTCTCCCTTCCAACTCCACTTAGCTATTCCTCCCACACTCTCCCTGCTGCTGCTGGAGAGGTCAGATTTCTGCTACTCTACCCCTCTCCAAGTGCCATACTTTGACTCTTTCTTCATGAATAACTCCAATGCTTTCTTGTGCTGCTACCCAGAGCAGCAGACTAAAACTGACATGATTCTTGTTCCCAGAGGCCATGAAACTGACCAGCTTGTGGGTTTTACTCTGCTGCTGTTTGAAGAAGCGGTGAGCAGCAGGCGAGCTATCTGTCTGCAGACTCAGGAAGACAGTGCTGCATCCATTCCCATTTGGGAGGTTTTCTTCAGAAACCTAAAAGCTAGAAACAGAATTATTTTTTCTTAAAAAAAGTGAATCTTAAATTGCGTAGAGATTGATGATTTATGCCTCTCATCATCATCACTCCCATAACCGCATTGGTCGTTGGGGCACCATCATTGATAAGCAATCAACCGATTGTCTCCTCCCCTGATGATTGTGTGTCAGTGCTTGAGTCTCCGCAAAGTCCATTCCTGTCCACTCTTTTATGTTGTCAATCTTCTTCTGTCTACCTCTTCTCTTCCCCTGTACTGTCCCTTGGAGGATGATCTTGGATAGGCCAGATGATCTTGTTATATGGCCATACCACTTCAGCTTGTGCTTCTTCACGGTCGTCAGGAGGTCTTCATATGACCCAGCGCATTGGGTGATGATGTTACGGACCTCTTCATTAGTGATGTGGTCGAAGTAGGAGATGGTTATCAGGGGATTAATTCAGAGTATTATGAGTTGGAGCCATGCTCCACCTCGCCCTTACTTCCTGTTTTAGTCAATGGAAGCTTCCCCCCTCCACTCTGTTGTGATGCAGTTGAATAAAGCAGCAAGTTCCCAGCCTGCAGTGCTGTGAGCAGATGTATTTTTGTTGCACTGAGTGGTCGCTTTTCGAAAATACCCCACCCCCAGGAAATGTTTCCCATTCAGCACTAGCCAAGAGGATTGTTCAAGTATAGCTGTGTTTATCGATGGCCCTGCGGGACCACTGCTCAGGACAAGGAGATAGGTATTTCAGTCTCTCTCTCCCATGTATTCCTGGGCCTTTCTGTTGAGACCGTAGACACGGTCGGCAGTTAGCGCCAGTGGCGGCTGGTTTGTGACGTGCAGAATAGAAAGTGGCGTGATGCTGCCAAACAACCGCCAGATAGTAGCATCTTTTGGTCCCTGCCTGGGCTAGATTTGCACTGGGGCCCAGAGCCTCAAAAGTATTTAGGCGCCCAACTCCCATTGGTGGAAGGTTCTGAATCGCGTTACCATGCCCTGAGCCATCCAATCCTCCCCTTCTTCTTTTTGTTACCACAGTTCATACAAGCCTGCAGGATCCTTCTACCAACAAGCATTGCAGCGGGGGGGAAAGAATAGCCTTTGCACAACGTAACATTTGCCGACACTCGGCCGCTAGCTGTCTCTTCTAGGGAAGCGTTGCTAGGGAAGGTGCTTCGCAACAAGAAGCACTTTGTGAAGTTAAAGCGCCCAGCCCTCCCACTTCTCAGGAAGATTGGCCTCGCTCAGCTGCCGTTTACCAAACCCACATGATGCATGTGCAGCTCTGTCCTAACCGCACAACTTGTGGCGTGTTATTGCTTCCATACGCCAGGGCAGGGTTTATTTAGAAAGCAAATATTGTTGCTTCCATTAGACAGTGATGCAGCTGAATCCCTTGGCACCATAATTATCAAGCACTTCAAAGCGTGCGCTTCCATTATCAGTCCTCGGAATTCGAGTCCTGGAGCTCAAGTAAACCACGGTGCACTAGGCGTAGGGTGACCAGATGTTCCGATTTTATAGGGACAGTCCCTATAGGTGGGGCTTTGTCTTATATAGGTGCCTATTACCCCCCATCCCCTGTCCCGGTTTTTCACACAGTTTGGACACCCTAACTAGGCGAGGGTCTGGGATGGCAGTGTTTAAAACTCAGTTCGCTTTCCAGCTCTCCCACTGACAAGTCTTTAAGCCTCTATTTATTCCCCTGTCTCCGTTAGACGTCACAGGGATGGTTGGAGGGTTAGGTGGTCGATGATTGCAGAGTGCTTTGAGATCCTTCAATGAAAGGCTCTATATGAGTGCAAATAAGGAGTGCAATAGGCACCCAGAAGAACCCACCCCCCCCCCCCCCCCCCCCCCCCGATGTGCTGTGCTGGCAGAGGCCTGAATCCAGGCATTTGGTTGCGCTACTAGCTGATGTCATTCTAATGCTTTTGGGGGCTTTCTTGGGGAATGGGAATTTGGGGGAGGTGGAGGGGAGGAACAACACTCCTTAATCCCTTTCTTCTCCCAAGTCTTTGATGTTAATAATAGTTGGTAGGTGAGCTCATCTTAAGCCCAGATGGTTCCAATCACGTGCATTTTAGGCGGGGGCATTTGATCACGCTGGACACCCCTCCTGCTGGTGGGACTGAATTTAGTTAGTTTCTTATTTTCTCACCCACCCTACCCGCCCGGCAAAGAGACCGACCCGATCATTCTGTTTCCCTCCTGTGGCAGGGGCCGGCCTGGGCCGCGAAGGAGAAGTGTCTCACCAAGAAGTACACCACCAGCGGGGAGTGCTGCAGAGCCTGCAACCTGGGAGAAGGGGTAGCGCAGCCCTGTGGGGTGAATCAGACGGTCTGTGAGCCATGCCTGGACAGTAAGTAGCTTGTCCTCGATTTCACCCCCACAGCGAGCTTTGGGGGTGGGTGGAAACCGCCTGCTGCCTACTGCACTGGGGATAAAGCTGGGGGGAAGGGAGATTCCAGTAGAGGGGTGAGATGGCTGGGTTGAAAAGCCCTTTGGATCATTGGGTGTGTATTGTCTTCTCATGACTATGATACAGGGTGCACCTAGAAAAAAATGGGTATCCTCTTTGCTCTGTCCTCCCTTTTGGTACAGTCCTCACTCAGGTATCGGCTTGCGCCAGACCTAGCCAATTGCTCTCACCTGCAATTTCTAATGTGCCCATTACTACAGTATCTGGTCTCCCTTTATATCATTTAAACCCATTGTATCCTGCAGCAAGTGGGATATAACAAACAGAACATACACTCCACAAACACGATAACTACTGTCACTGAAGCCTGTTAACTGAAGATGATCAGCCGGCTCCCAGTCTGCATGGACCAACTAACTTGCACATCCAAACGCAAAGGGGTTTATGGGATTTCTCCCCCCGAGCCCTCCTCTGAGATACCGGCCCTTTGCGTTTTCTTCTACTGGCCGTTTGTGTCATTCCCTGCTTCCTTGGGGTCTCTATTCCTCTCCACACCCACTCGGCCCCTTCCCCTGGGCTTGCACCAGCTGATGGGAGTTGCTTGGTTCTCTCAGACGTTTGGGAAATTATCTCTCTCTTGCTTAGCTGTACGGGCTGCCCAATGCGATGTTTTCCAATGAGTCCCCCTGTGTCTTTTACAGTATAATAAGAAAGTGGAATTAGACTGACCGTTTAGCAGGGGATGAGAACAAGGTAGCCCCAGTAGGACAAGGAAACCGGCTGTTATATCACGGATGGATGAAGGCATTTTGTCCCCGTCGTATGCTTCGTAGGCCCCGGTAGAGTACATGTACTAGTGATCTGGGTGCACACGTAGTGATGAAATGATTGAGCGATTATTTCTGTAGTGCCATGGCTGTGCACGGTGCTTTGTAGAGAAAATAAAAACACCAGCCCCCCCATCCTCCACCACCAGGGCAGCTTGCCCTCCAAATATTTACCATGGCAGGATAGTGCCGAAATGCTGCTGGTTCCAACTGGTTGCAGCGAAATCCGCCCAAGCCAGAACACTGTGGTGAAGGGCTGCGTGATGGTTTGTTTCACAATTATTATTTTGACCCAGAGCAAAACTGAAAATGCTGCTGGGGGAGAAGACATCCCTGAGGACAAGGCTTCCCCAGTGGAGGAGAGATCCTTGGGGAGGGTGTCTCCTGAAAACAGTTTTTGGAAGAGAGGGGACCGGTGGAGGAAAGGGTGCTGACTGGGAGGGGGCTCTGGGCAGGTGATCTGACTTGTTAGAGGAAAAGGCTCCATGGCCAGTCACAGCTCTGCAGCACACCAGCTAAAAATATCAACCTTCCTTCAAAATCAATGAATGCCACTTAACCTCGGAGTGAACGGCAGTAAGGACTCTGGATATTGAATACCAGCCCCGCTGTCTGACCTTGGAGGAGACGCGTGTTAACACCGTGAAAAGCAGCTTCTTCCAGGGAGCACACCCTGCCCTGAGAATAGGCTGGTAACTCTCTGCAGCATTCCCTTTAGGTCTCTCACCGGCTACCTCCCAGAGCAGGGATTCCACATTGATGCACCTTTACAATCACACAGAGCACATGTGGTGTGAATCAGGTCCCGGGGAGACATGCCAGCTCTTCATTCCAGAAGGAAATGTGGATTTGGAAGAAGATAAAATAATTCCCACCCGGGTAATGGAGGGAGTGCGTATGCAGTAAATGTTGAGTGGATGTGAATGGGCGTGCACGTGTCCTTGGATCACACTTGTTTGATGGGTGTAGCATGACTCTGGCTCTGTGCTTGCACAAGTGTGTGTTGTGCCCCCACCTTTCGTGGCTGGTTCCCTGAGGATAACAGCCTACTACTGCGGCTGGTTAGTGACGTTGCTCCGTTAGCTCAAGTCTGTGCTATGGAGCTACAGGTTAACCACTCCTGGGGGTGGCTCCGTGTGCAAGTGTTTGCATGCTGTCTCCGTGGACCGTGGCTGTGTTTGTGGCGTGCGTGCTGTTGGCTTTTCCATGCAGCGGCGGCTTTGTGCGTGCGGCGTGCTGGATGCCAGGCTCCCAGACTCTTTCACAGATGTCGGTATTAATCCTCACGGACACATGTTCGTTCTCCGCTCTCGGCTTTCGAGTCGTTTCCAGCCTCACAATCCCAGAGTGGAGACATGACATTTTTCTGCAAACCCCCTCTCCCTCCCCCCCCCCCCACATCCTTCCGGCTGGGATGCATTCTCCCCTGTGGGATGGAGCCATTCCAGTTCTCATCATGTGAGTCCCTCAGGGAATGTGTGCGGGGGGGGGGGGTATTAAGAGAGCAGGATCAGAACTCGGATGCAGCACTAGAGCGACTGGGAGGTGGCTGCATCTGTCCATTAATCTGCACGTGGGTGGCTGTGTGTATAAATACATGTGTTTCTGTTTTATGTGCCCAGCTGACCTTGACATGTCTTTGGCTTGCTTTAGTCCCAGGCTGGAGTGTGTATTTCCATCCTGCTGCTAGGCCTCAGGAGTAAAGGTTGGGTTTGGTCTCTGCTTTGTCACACTGGGGAGCTGAGCTACGCAACCAATCACGCATCAGCAGGGTCTTGAGATGTCCCCGTTCCTTCTGGGCCTCCGCAGGGGATTGGCTTACCCCAGAGCATGGCATGTGCCGCCCCTCGATCACAGCGTCCAGAATAATCGTGCGGTTGCTGGTCATTACATGATGGAGCGCTCTAATAATGCAGCCCCGCCGTTTGGCCTGGGTGACCGCCCACGGTCGCAGATTCCTCCAGTTCGCCCTGTGCCGCCTGAAAAGCCTTTCCTTCGATTTGCTCTTGACTCGCCGGCCTCGTTTAATTGCAACTGATTCGACAACAGCAAGGCGCAAAAGACCATCCGGGCAAAACTCAGGCTGTGCAGGTGGAGAAGAAAGCATCACCGGCTGCTGGGGGGGAAGCAGGTCTCCTTTCATGTTGAAGTTCAACCTGAGTTCTGCATTAGCCCAAACGGCTTCATTCCCCCTCCCACCGGCAGCCTCTCCCGACCGCTGTCTCATGATTTATTTATTCATCTCCTCAACATCCATCGTTACATGGGGGCCTGTTGGATTCTCAGCTGTAATTGTTCAGCTCCCATACCCTGCTGCCACTGAAAATGTGCCCACTCAGCCGATATGCTTTTCCGGTCCAGCTCCCCGTTCTAATGGCATCCATCAATAATTCAGAATAATGTAAGGAATTAACCCAGGTTAATGGGAGCTGTGCACTCCAGCGTCTGACTGGGAACTGTTCAGAAAGGCACGGGAGGGGGGGGGGGGGGGGGAGCGGGACGGGCAAGAGGGAGAGAGAGAGCACAGATCTTTGTGCCGAGCTGGTGATGGGGTGGGGGTGGGGGGTCATGGGGGTCAGGGCCTGAATAAAATAGATTGGGGAGGTCTGATCTCCAGTCTGTGTTCAGTTATGACCATGACATTGGCGACCGCGGGAGGAGACAAGAAGGCAGAGGTGGGCAGAGAAGAGAGAGCTGCTGCTGGGATGGAAAGCTCAAATCAACAGATTTAGGAGGTGAAGAAAAATGCCCCCCCCCCCCCCCGCCCAACACAGCCACATCCACTCCTTGAGGGGTTAAAGGGTCGGAGGAAGCGCAGGCTGGGACTGAACTGAGCCGGCGAGGATGGGAATGTGGCGAGTGGGAACGCCATGGGATGCCAGGGGGTGTGTTTGGGGGGGTGCTCTCAGCCACAGAGCAGAGGATGGAAGTGTCTTTCAAGGGCCAGCGGTGGGGGGGGGGTGGTCTCCCCCCCACAGCAGCACATGGTACAGCAGGAGAGGATGGTGTGGAGAATGGCAATACCGGGCCGGTGCCAGCAGGATGGTGCATGGACAGCCTGGCAGAAGAGGCTGTGCCAAGGAGGTGGAGAGATTGGCAAGATCCCCCTGGCGCGCTCACCTTTCTGGATGCTCTTACTGCTGCCAGGAGCACCCTCTTCGCCGGCACCAATGTCATCCCTTAATAGCCAAGCGAATAGCGATCAGCTGCTTCGGGCCACGTGGGGACCCCTCTGCCTTTCATCGCTAGCAGCATCCTCCCGGTGATCCTTCGACACCGAGAACTGATGCTGCTGAATTATGGAGGACGCTGCCTAAAATAGCTAAACATGGCTGCTTTCCCCACCTCTGAACCGGCGCGCTGTTCTGCCGAAAGAAAAGCCCTCCGGCTGCATGGAGTTGGAGCCGCTGGGGCTTGACTGGCTGCCATCCATTCCCGGACCTCCTGGCAGATGGCCGGGACAGCTCCGAGCTATTCACTATGGCCAAGGACCCTCAAAGCTGCCTAAATCCCATTGAACCTGGGCCCAAACACCAAGGCCTGGTAGACACTACGGAGTGTCACCGTGTTATATTTATTGACATGATGCAGACCATGGGGAAGAGGAGGGGGGTACACGGCCTGTTCAATTCTGTCCAATGCACGTCTGTGCGAGGAAAGATCAGCTTGTGATAAAGTCACCGGTCTGGGACTCATGTCACCTATGAGTCACATGCCTACATGGGTCAACATGGAGTCTGTGGTTCCATTGTCTTCTCCCGCAAGGCAATGCACATCCTACCACAGAAGACATGTCTACCACTCCCTGCCAATACAGCATCATGCCACAAGCCCGTGATCTGGCCACCTCTCCTTCAGGGCTGTACAGCCCTGCCAGGCAGGCCTCGGCTATCCATAACTCATTGCTTGGCACTGACTATCTTGCCAGCTCTCATCCTGTATCGAGTCTTCCGCGTTTGGTTAAGCTTATGGGAAAAGGTTGGGGTGAGACCATGCTCAGATCTCCTGGCCAGTCTGGTTACTGAGAGAGACAACTCTGGTGGATGATCTCCTAGCGATGGATGAACAGGAAGGACTGAGGCCATTAGATTTGTCAGCCGCCTTTAACCCCAT